TGTTTAATGTCAGTTTAATTATTGGGACAGCCAAAAAGCCTACAAAGGAAGGAGGGAAAATTTTTCTGCCCCTTCAACTACGTGGGTGGATGTTTCAGTCTGCTATTGAGGGATTCTTGACTTATTTCTCATTAACTTTTAGTTCTGCAGTTAATAACTTTGTGGAAACAGTGACAGACTTTATCTTGGGGGGGGGGGTGTCCAAGATCACCTAAGATGGTGAATGCAGCCATGAAGTTAAAAGACGCTTGCTCCTTGGAAGAAAAATTATGACAAACCTAGACAGTGTATTAAAAAGCAGAGACATTACTTTGCTGACAAAAGTCCGTCTAGTCAAAGCTATGGTTTTTCCAGTAGTCATGTATGGATCTGAGAGTTGGACCATAAAGAGAGCTGAGTGCCGAAGAAGTGATGCTTTCGAACTGTAGTGTTGGAGAAGGCTCTTGACAGTCTCTTGGACTGCAAGGAGATCAAACCAGTCAATCCTAAAGGAAATCAATTCTGAATATTCATTAGAAGGACTGATGCTGAACTGAGGCTCCAATACTTTGCCCCCCTGACATGAAGAGCTGACTCATTAGAAAAAACCCTGATGCTGGGAAAGATGGAAGGGAAAAGGAAAATGGGATGACAGAGGATGTGATGGTAGGATGGCATCATTGATTCAATGAACATGGGTTTGAGCAAGCTCCAGGAGATGGTGAAGGACAGGAAAGCCTGGCATGCAGCAGTCCATGGGGTTTCAGAGTTGGACACAATTGAGCAACTGAACAACAGAATTGTCCTTTTATATTTTTGTTAGTGTATCTTTGAAATAAATTCTAGAAGTAGGATTACAGGATCCAAGGATAAATGCACATGTGATTTTGCTAGATGTTGTCAGATTCCCTTCCCTCAAGGTTTAGGCCATGGAACATCCCCAACAGTGATAAAAGAGGGTGCCTGTTACCTCGAAGCTTCCCTAACAGAGTTCATTATCAACATATGCACTGATGAATGTGTCTAATATATACTAAGATATTAAATAAAAACACTAAAATGACTATCAAACTGAAAATTGTCTGAGTTGCTTAAAATCAGTGGTATGAGTACCACACATTCATAAATACTGCCTTAGCCATTACTTGAAAAGTTCAGATATTTTGGCCTCTCTGAACCCTGCTTGGTATGCTGAAAACCCCTGTCCAAGTTGCTTTCTTCCTTAGATGTTGCACTAGTACAAGATGTGCTGTCTTAGACATGATAACCCATTCCACCTTGTTTTTGTGTTGATTTATAGGGCTCCAACTTGCAGTATTTAATTTTTTTAGCCTGTTGTATGGTTATGTGCATAATAAAAGATACTCAAATATTTATAATCCTTAAAGATGAACATCTAATTCTCCCCTATGTGAGGTAATCCATTTTTATACTGTTTGTTGTTGTTCAGTCAGTAAGTTGTGTCTGACTCTTGTGACCCCACAGACTATAGCCCATAAGGCTCCTCTGTCCATGGGATTTCCCAGGCAAGAGTACTGGAGTGGGTTGCCATTTCCTTCTCCAGGAAGTCTTTGGACCCAGGGATTGAACCCATGTCTCCTGTATTGGGAAGCAGGTTTTTTGCCACTGAACCACCAGGGAAGCCCCATGTACCACTGGTAGATTAAAAGAATTTTAGTAGCCTTGACATGGTGCAAGGCACAGTACACATCAATTAAAAAATCATTACTTGAATAGTGTGGAGAGAAGGCTAGAAACATAAAATCTAAAATATCAAGTCATCTTTATATGCATTACTTTGAACTAACTACATTGATTCCAAATTGAGAGACAGCTTTGAGGAAACTCGTCCTACCTTATTAAAGAAGGATTTGGGAAATTTGGAAAAACATTATATAAGCTTTCCAGGGAATCTTTTGAGATAAGAATGTTAAGGTTTAAATGTCATTGGTCATTGCCATTCTCGTCGCTAGAATGTTCCTTGAGAAGCTGATTTTACCTGAAACATTTAGCATAATACCTGACATACAGTAGGTGCTCATTTAAAGCCTATCTAATGAATGAATCCCTGCCTTTTCCATACATTGTGATTTATTACCACCAGTAACTTAGGATCTGTGAGAACAAGAAAATAGAATATACTGGCTTCATTTTCTTGGGACACCCGTTAAGGAGCAAGTGTTTACTAAACTGTGGGCTTGTCTTTTTTCACTGTTTATGTTCAATTTTTGAATTGCATGATTTTTATCCATTGTTTATCTTTTATTCAGTACTGAACTTTAGTTCTCATCAGAATGCACTTTTTCTTAACCAGGAACTCTCAAGGTTTATATTGAGTGTTTCATAAAGAACTATTTCATTGCAGTACCTGAAAGCAGAAAAGTTTATTCTCTCCTAGAGTTAATAGCAGAGAATGTTTGCCAAATGTTTTTAAAAAAATGCTCATTTTAGAAAATATTTCCAAGCTTTCCATTCCTAAAATAATAAAACCTAGCTGGTTATCATTCTATCTACACAATTTCATATCTTGTTATTTTCATCTAATACATATTTTCCCACAACATAAAAATTTTTGAAAGAACATTCAATTCAAAGTAAGTAAAACTATGTCAGAGGACCCTGTGTACAAATTCAGAGCATCAGAAAAAGTGTTGGTAGCTCTCCCCCATACATATATGATTGAAAGTATAAGATGCCTCAAGAGTATGATGTAAAAATTTTGTTTAAAAATAGAAATTATTAAAAATGAAAAAATAAAATAAAAAATATTCTGGTTTCACTTTTGTTAAATGTAATCTTTTAAAGATAATTCACCTTGATAATAGTCTGACAAAGTTTGATGCTAACTAAATAAATATTTTTTAAGGATTCAAAGAAAATAAGTATTTTTAATTAAAGAGATCAAGAATGATGGTTCAAGAGCTGGAAAGTGTAAAGTGTTCCATAGAGTACCTCAGCCTCTATGCCTGAGTGTCAGACTGTGTTGGGACTTACATTTCTGAACTATTCAGGGATTTATTAAAAGATTCAGAGCATGGAAAATGATGAAAATAAAGCCAAAAATAAAAATGGTATTTTTCAAGCGGTCTGTTATGCCTTTTGGAGGGATGGGAAAATACGGAAAGATTTCCCTGACTTTTTGTGGGACAGAACAAACACTAACTGGTTGACGAGTGTAAGTACCAAAATGACCTTTGGACACCCTTAGGTTTGGCCAGTAAGTGGGGATATAAACAGGTGGGTCACAAATCTAACGAACGACCTTCACCAGCACAATTTACTTCTTCCTTCTGGATCAGAGAATGTCTCCTTCCTAAAGAATTCGACCTCTAGCTCTGTTAGACAATTTACTGACTTCACAGCCTCCTAGGTATCGGCGTGACAGTCTTATCCTTCAGTCTGGGAAGAAGAAGAAATACCCCACCACTCCGAGCCTCAGCCATACTTTGAGGTACCTGGAAACCCCCTGGATGTGAAGCAAGCACCTCAGAAATAGAGGCCAATTGCCAGGGACTGCAGTAGGCAAAAAAGGAGAGAAAGTTTAAAGAGGTAGGTAGGAGGACGTTTTAATTCCTCTTCTATTTTTAACTTTGACTTGCAGTGCTTACATAGGAAAATTCTATAGCCTCTCCAGATTGAGGACCCCGCAGAAAAATCCAGAGAAAGTGACCCATGGTCAGCCTTGTACCCCCAGGCCTAACGGGCCACTCCATCCGGAACGTAACAGGTCAGCCGATTGCAGCCTAGATCGTCAACACGTAGGGTAAGAGAGGCTGGAGGTGGGGGCGGGACGACATGGCTGCCTGATGCTGATTGGCTGATGGAGCTCGTAGCCTGGTGCCATTTGTTGTTGGATCAGCGCACCAGACGCAGTCTGCGTCGTGCACGTGCAGACGCAGTCTGCGTCGTGCACGTGCAGCCATTTAAGTCGCGTCAGCGCCTGAGAGGACTCCGGGAGAGCAAGCTGCAGAGAGGTGAGTGGGCTGCCGTCTCTTTTCCCAGAGTGGGTTTCATCCCAGCGCTCTGGGCTTCCTAGTAGTAGCTGGACTTTGGGCCAAGTGAAGAACGGTTGGGGTGGGCAGGGGTTTGAAGCCGTCCTTGGGGGTCTTTCTGCTTCTTGCCGGGTGGTCCAGTAGCACGGTGCGTGTCCGAAGTCTGGGGTTGAGGCTTGCAGGAAAGGCAAAGGAGCATTTTTGACCACATGGTAGTACATCATCCGTGTTCAGAGGAAAAGACTCTCTAAACACGGATGGTTGTAGAACTCTTCGTGTATACACCCTTTTTGGCGAAACTGGTTGGTTGTGGGAGACATTCGGGCCACCTAATCACCCCTTCCTTCCCTGCCAGACTTCAAGGCCTTGATCCCTGGTCACTCGTCCCCACGCCCGCAAAGAAACTAAATAAACCCCACGCGAAACGTCGTACCCAGTTTTGAAGGGAGAAACCTGGAGTAGTATCTGAAAAATTTCCCCTGCCCCTTAATGTTCACTAAGACGCATTGGGAACCCTTCGGTGAGAACATAAATTCTGTCAACAGATTTTGGGGAAAGCCTGAACTCCACCGGGACACGGTGATTGCTAGAGTGATTAGATAAGTGGTTCAACTAATTTTTAAAGATAAAAAATTGAAAGTCGCTCAGTCGTGTCCGACCCTTTGCGACGCCATGGACTATACAGTCCATGGAATTCTTCAGGCCAGAACACTGGAGTGGGTAGCCATTCCCTTCTCCAGGGGACCTTCCCAACCCAGGGATTGAATCCATGTCTCCCACATTGCAGCCGGATTCTTTACCGTCTGAGCCAAAAGGATGAATATAAATGGTATCTCTTGGTAAGAAACAAAAGTTTAATTGGCCTTTTTGCAAAAACTTTTGGGGAGGATCAAGAGTTAATTGTGTAGCTTGGAGGTATATGTGTGAAATGATGATTTATGCTTTTAAATGTAAAATTCTGATCTCTGATTCTGACTGAGCCTAAATGTGCATGTTTGTATTTTTATAAAAACTGAACTGGAAGCCGCCATGGGAGATGAAGATTGGGATGCAGAAATAATGAACCCTCGTATGTCTTCCTGTGTTCCTGTATTTGAGAAGGTAATAAAATTTAAAGTTTGTAGTTACTGAATGCTACAGATTTTATCGGAGTTGAAAATCTCTGTGGTGAGAAAGTTCATCTGTGGTGAGAAGCATGCTGTGCTTCTCCATGTGATTGTTATTAACTGTCTTATAGGGAATGATGAAGCATGCTAAGCCTCAAATAGAAGAAAACAGTCTGACATAATTTAATAATTAAAACCTAAAACGGGTATAATATTATTAGCAACTTAATTTAAATCTCAATGATTTAGAACTTACTGTGGGTGAAAGCAAGCTTGTGTTAATGTGGTTGAATGTCTCTAAGATACAGTTGTATATGGAAAATGGAAAAATAAAATTCGTTTTTGGGTGGCAGTTTGAATTCTGAAATTTGATTTTATACAAGCAGGGCTCTCAAGATGAAAACATTAGGTTGATTCAGATGGTAACATCAGTTTGATCTTCAGATGTACAATTCCGCAGATCTTTTTCCTCAATAGCTTTTGAAGAGTTATACTGAAATTTACATGAGGGGATTATGGAGTGGGTTTTTGGATTTTAGTTTTGACTTTAAGATGGTGAACAGAGTCTACTTTGGAAGACAGTGTATTTAATGGATTGCTTTTACATAAGTTTTATCTACTTGAAAATGTCTCCAAAAGTCAATTTGTTTTCCTCTTAGGATTTCCAGTTTGTATTTATGTTGGTCAATTCTGACACTTTCTATTTCAAGTGACGTCTTAATATTAATTCTTAATTTACCCCAAAACATAAAATTTAATTCTTTGTCTTTGTTGAATTTGGCCTGTTTGCATATAAACTTTAGATTAAAATACCTAAGATGTTAATCTGAATTTATCATGTTTCTTACTTTGGGACTTTTTTTAGAAATAACTATTTTGTATGTTATCTTTTTATAGTCTTCTTTATGTTACAATATCGTAAGAATATTGTAAGACCAAAAGAGGAGACATATTACCTATAGTCTCGCTCACTAGCACAAATGCTCTGTTGAGGTTTTAGTAAATTTTCTTCTATATTTCCCAAACACAGTTTTACATGGATTCTAATGATTGTACATAATCGTAATTTTTGATTTCATCTTTTTCACTCTTCAGCACTAGCTATTCCATATTACTAAGTTCCTAAAAATAATTTCATATGTGTATCTAGTATGTAATGGACTAGAACTACTATAACATAATTGATTTTCTTCTGGTAGAAATTAAAGTGTTATCTTTGCACTGTAGTATTGTCATGAATAGCTACAGTTTATTGCTTAACTTGGGAGTATTTTTTTTCAAAAATGGAATTACTTGGTCAAATAATTTTCCATGGTTGTTTTTTTCCCAGGTTCTTGGTAGATTTGTTGTAATACACAGTTTAACTCACAGGTACAGATGTTCTTCCACTTGGACTTGTCTAATTTTTACTTTTTCTTACTCTGAGATTTTGTCTTAACTAAGTATTATTCAAATGGTATACTGCACTGTAGAATGTTGTGCATGGTTATTGCAAAGGGTGTCTGAAATTGAGGATGGTCAACTGTCAGGCTTCCAGATTTACCTTTTGGGAGTCTTTGTGCTATTCAGTAACATACTTTGTTTCTCGATGCTGGTCATACTGATTGAATATTAATTGATATTAATATTAATGTTAATATTTAATGTACATTATTAACATTCAATAATAATGTTAATGTTAATATTAATGTTAATATTTCTACCTTACGATTCTTAGTACATATCTGTGTGGGGCCAATTTGTAGGAAACTTTTTGCATTTGTCCACAAACTTAACACCTGGGCTAGGTGTGCAGTTAGTAATTTGACCTACTTAACTTGAAGGAACATGATGCATTCAGTGGCTTTGTTTGCTTGTCTTTGTTGAATAAGATGTGTAGAAGCTAAGGATGAACGCATGACATTTTTATGTAGGAGAAATCTGAGGTCTTCAGCCTGTTTTCTTTTAAAGGCACCATTTGATTGGTTGTTGTAATTGGATTTCTGTTGCAAGAAGCAACTGGGCTTCTCTTTTGTTCAATTTGTATTGTCTCTGAGATCATCTTGGATTGGTAATAATATCTGTGATCAGCCTTAATTTAAAAAATCGAGAGTATAGTTGATTTACAATGCTGTGTTTCTGTTGTACAGCAAAATAGTTCAGTTATACATATACATATATTCATTCTTTTTTATCGTCTATTCTTGTATAGGTCTTTACAAAGTATTGAATAGAATTCCATGTGCTGTGCAGGAGGTTCTTATTATGTGATAAGCCTTTTCTGAATGCTTTAAGGATCCTTCTTTGGAGATTTAGTATTAACACAGGCTTATATAATTTTGAACTAACAGGTTGCTTTTCTGGTAGTTTTTAGAATTTCCCAATGCTAGTTTTTGAAGTGAGTGTACCATGTGGGGATAGAATAATAAAAAAATGTGAGGTTGAGAAATATTTGGCAATCTAGCAGTTACAGTAGTCCAGAAATGGTTCAGTTCAGTTCAGTCCCTCAGTCGTGTCTGACTCTCTGTGACCCCATGAATCGCAGCACGCCAGGCCTCCCTGTCCATCACAAACTCCCGGAGTTTACTCAAACTCAAGCCCATTGAGTCGGTGATGCCATCCAGCCATCTCATCCTCTGTCGTCCCCTTCTCCTCCTGCCCCCAACCCTCCCAGAATCAGGGTCTTTTTCAATGAGTCAACTCTTCGCATGAGGTGGCCAAAGGATTGGAGCTTCAGCTTCAGCATCAGTCCTTCCAATGAACACCCAGGACTTATCTCCTTTAGGATAGACTGGTTGGATCTCCTTGCAGTCCAAGAGACTCTCAAGAGTCTTCTCCAACACCATAGTTCAAAAGTATAAACTTTTCGGCACTCAGTTTTCTTCACAGTCCAACTCTCACATCCATACATGACCACTGTAAAAACCACAGCCTTGACTAGATGGACGTTTGTTGGCAAAGTAATGTCTCTGCTTTTTAATATGCTATCTAGGTTGGTCATAACTTTCCTTCCAAGGAGGAAGCATCTTTTAATTTCATGGCTGCAGTCACCATCTATTATGTGTTTGCATGTTGTGTGCACACTTGTTGGGGTGAGAGATGAAATGGATGAACGTGATGACTGTAACAGGATACTGGGTTAGCTTGCTAGTTGTAATATTTCTTATTAAATGACCAATGAGTCTACACACTCGTCTCTTCTGTCTGATCTTTTTGCCTTTTTTCTGGCATATTTCAGAAGGCATATATACTCTTGTGATTAAAGTGGAAACTGCTTAAGATAATTAGTGCCTCCACAATTATTATTTTGAAATTTATAATATTTGAAATAATGTTAAGTTTTAAAATTTCTAAATTGGTTCACTTGGATGAGTAAAGAGGTTATAAATGTTTTATAGCTAAGTGTTCTAAAAATAGGTAATGTTAAGACCTAAGACTCATTCCACAAGATTTTTGAGCCTTGTTAGATGCTGGAGCTAGCGGTAAACATGATAGATAAGGGGCTTGCTGGCATGGATGTTGTATTTTACTGGAGGAGACAGAATAAGCGCATTAAAAATCATATACTAATAGTGAAAATTATTAAATAATAATAATAATAAAATAATCAGGAAACTCTCTGTGTGTGAGGGAGAGAGGGAGAAGAAGATTTGTATGGGTAGATTTAGATCAGGTGGAGAGGAAGATATTCCTTGAGACTATGACTCATAAGCCGGAGTCCTGAAAGAGTCCCAATAACACATGATGTGCAGAGATCTGAAGAGAGAACAAACTTAGGGTATCAGGACAACAGGAAGAAGTACAATGTGTTAGTGTCCTATAGATGCTGTAATAAATTATCACAAACTAGATGGCTTACAGTAACAGAAAAATTTCTCTTACAGTTCTGGAGGCCAGAAGTTAGAAACCATGGTCTCAGCAGTGCTGTTTCCCTTCAGTAGGCTCTTGGAGAGAGTCCATGCTTCTTCCAACTTCTGGTGGTTACAGGCAGCCTTGGCTTGTGGCTGCATCTCTTTCTGTTGTCTTCACTGGGCCTTCTCTGTGTTTGTATTAATACCTTTGGCCTTTCATAAGGACACTTGTGATGACATTTAGGGCCCACTTAGATAATCCAGGGTAATCTCCTCATTTCAAAATTCTCAGTTATATCGGCCAGAACTGCTTTTTTTAAAAAAATAATTTAACACACTTTTCAGGAATTAGGGCTTGGTATCATTGAGTGGATGTTATTCAATCTACTATAGCTGCTGCTGCTGCTAAGTCGCTTCAGTCGTGTCCAACTCTGTGTGACCCCATGGACAGCAGCCCCCCAGGCTCCCCTGTCCCTGGGATTCTCCAGGAAAGAATACTGCAGTGGGTTGCCATTTCCTTCTCTAGTACTTGAAAGTGAAAAGTGAAAGTGAAGTCGCTCAGTTATGTCTAACTCCTAGCGACACCATGGACTGCAGCCTACCAGGCTCCTACATCCATGGGATTTTCCAGGCAAGAGTACTGGAGTGGGTTCCATTGCCTTCTCTGCTACTATAGCTAGTTTAGTGCTGTTTCATATCCTAAAAGATGATGCTGTGAAAGTGCTGCACTGAATATGCCAGCAAATTTGGAAAACTCAGCAGTGACCACAGGTCTGGAAAAGGTCAGTTTTTATTTCATTCCCAAAGAAAGGCAATGCCAAAGAGTTTTCAAACCACCACACAGTTGCACTCATCCCATGCTCTAGCAGATTAATGCTCAGAATTTTCAAAGCTAGGCTTCAGCATGAACCGAGAACTTCCAGATGTTCAAGCTGGTTTCAGAAAAGGCAGAGGAACCAGAGATCAAATTGCCAACATCCATTGGAGCATAGCAAAAGCAAGGGAATTCCAAAAATCACCTATTTCTGCTTCATTGGCTATGCTAAAGATTTTGACTGTGTGAATCACTACAAACTGTGTTAAATTCTTAAAGAGATGGGAATACCAGACCACCTGACCTGCCTCCTGAGAAACCTGTATGTAAGGCCAGAAGCAACAGTTAGAACTGGACATGAAACTATGGATTGGTTCCAAATTGGGAAAGGAGGACGTCAAGGCTGTATATTGTCACTCTGCTTATGTAACTTATATGTAGACTGCATCATGTGAAATGCCAGGATGAATGGAGCACAAGCTGGAATCGAAATTCCGGGAGAAATACCAATAATCTCAGATATGCAGATGATACCAGCCCTATGGCTGAAAGCAAAGAGGAACTAAAGAGCCTCTTGATGAAAGCGATTGAGGAGAGTAATAAAGCTGGCTTAAAATTCAACATTTGAATAGTGAAGATCATGGCATCCAGTCTCATCACTTTATGGCAAATAGATGGGGAAACAATGGAAACAGTGAGAGACTATTTTCTTGGTTCTGGAATCACTGCAGATGGTGACTGCAGCCATGAAGTTAAAAGATGCTTGCTCCTTGGAAGAAAAGCTATGACCAACCTAGACAGCATATTAAAAAGTGGAGACATTACTTTGTCAACAAAGGGCCATCTAGACAAAGCTATGGGTTTTTGAATCGTCATGCATGAATGTGAGAGTTGGACCGTAAAGAAGGCTGAGTGCCAAGGATTGATCCTTTTGAACTGAGATGTTGGAGAAGACTTGAGAGTTCCTTGGACTGCTAGGAGATCAAACCTGTCAATGCTAAAGGAAATCAGTCCTGAATATTCATTGGAAGGACTGTTACTTAAGCTCCAATACTTTGGCTACCTGATTCAAAGAACTGACTCATTAGAAAATACCCTGGTACTGGGAAAGACTTATGGCAGGAGGAGAAAGGGATGACAGAGGATGAGATGGTTGGATGGCATCATGTGACTCAATGGACATGACTTTGAACAACCTCTGAGAGATGGTAAAGGACAGGGATGCCAGCCGTGCTGCAGTCCATGGGTCGCAAAGAGTCGGACATGACTGAGTGGCTGAGCAACAACAAATTTCTAGCATGGCTAAACTATAGTAAGATAAGGCAAGATTTGTAGAAAGTGAAATCTGAGAAGGAAAGAGAAAAGGAAGAGAGGGAGAGGACCCTCAAGTTAGAAGTGGGACATATAGTTGATAGAACTAGATGGCCTGGATGTGGGGAACGCAAGAGAGAATGATGCTAAGTTTTTCTATTGAAGCAAGTAGATTGGTGATGGTGCTCATTACTGAAATGGGAAATATGTGGAAGATGAACCAATTTGAGAGGGAAAAAATCAAGAATTCTGTATTTACAGTGTTGAATTTCAGATGCCTAAGAAAAGATTTAAGTAAGGATACTAGTCATTAGTTGTTGCTTTGTAGAGGGATCAGAGCTGTAGGTACAGATTTGGAATTTATCTATTTTAATAGGATTTAAATCTGGGAGAGTGGACTGGGTAAAGTTGGATGGAATAAAACAGACTTAGAGGGCTCTGCCATGAACTGTGGGGCACTTTGATTTTAAAGGTACATTAGCTGGGGAGCGGGCAAAGGAGACTGTGGAGGGAGTGGCCATGGGGCAAGAGGAAAACCTGGGAAGGATGTGTTCCCTAAGCCAGAGAAGCAAGTAGATAGTCTGTTGTTTCAAATGCTGCTGAGAGCTCTGGCAGGATGAAGCTTAAACGTAGTAATTTTATTACATAATATGCTTACTGTAAGCTTTTTCAGAGCAGAGGTGAGGATGAAGGCTAGCAAGAATAGTTTGAAGGAAATACGGAATGTAAGAAAACAGAGGCAGCAAATGTAGACAAATTTTTTTGCCTATAACGGAGCAGAGAAATGATACAGTAGCTGGAATGGAGTATGAAGTTACTTTATTTTTAATGTAATGAAAAGTGTTAAAGATTTTGATGATGAAAGATGAATTCTATTAATTTTTTTTTTTCAAAATGTTCCTTAGAATGTGTGTGGGATGTTAAATTCCATCTTCTGAAGATTGTTTGGTAACAATAATTTTTCAGTTGTTTGGTGCCAGAGTGTTTCTTTACTTTTTGTCAGTTATATGAAGCTGAATGTTATAACACTTATAAAACTAGCCTCTTTGGGGGCTCTATTCGTCCAGTAGTATTTTGGATACTAGAAAAGAAAAAAGTCTTCAGTGTTTCACTTTAAATAGGGAAAGCTGGATTACTTTCCTTGTTTGTCTTATCATCTATGGTAATCATAAATTGGAACTTTTTACTGTAGCAGTTATCAAAATCCCAAGCTATTTCAAAGATTTTATCATATGTTTTTAATTAGAAAAATAATTGAATGTCTTTTGAGCTTTATAAAGGTAGTTTTTAAAAGTCAGTGTCTTTTGTGAAAGAAATTTTGGAGCAAATGTATTACCTGATGATGTTAATACCTACCTTGGTGCACTCCCTCCAGCTTTAGGTTTATTTAATGAAATTTATTTGACAAAAATATTGTGATTTTTCTAATTCAGTCAGTTAATTGAAGTGTTATCTGTAAACTTCAGATGACTTTTTGTGCTTAAATTATTGAATTTGATTTTGAAGTATTTCAGAGCTCTGTTCAAAAGTTTTGCCTTTAGTATTGGAAACTTGTTTGTAAGGAAGCAGCCTGTTACATACCTAGATGAATTGAGGATTGCTTTTTTCCAATAAAACTGTATTTGTAAAAACTGGTAGCCCACCAGATTTGGATTGTGTCTATAGTTTGCTGAGCATTGTTTTAAGTGATACATTAGTATGCTATACATACAATTTTAAAGTGAAGGTGTTTTAGAGTAGTAAATAAAGGAACATGCAGTGACCCAGGAAATCTTACATTCTTTAATTGTTTTGTTCTGGACGAAACAGAGTTGTTAAAACTTTCTAGTATTTATGAGATAGATTATTCATTTTTATTATTCAAAGTAGAAAACTAGTGTTTTCTTTTTTCTTACAGGATAGGTATTCTTCTGGAGCAAATGCAGACACTTTTAAGAGGACTCTGGCTTCATCATCAGGTATGTGTTAAAGCAAAAATGCAGAACTGACTTTAGGTTAAGGGCTTCATCCACTGGATGAGAAGCAGACTAGTAGATACCTTGTCAAGGATGTTTTTTAAATTTTCTAGTGAGACATTTTGGCTTGAATATTTTGGGTAGGGAGCCTCTTACAATTAAAGGAAGGGAGAGAAGAGAGAGTGTAGAGAGTGTATCCTTCGATTTAGTGGGTTTGCTGTAAAACCTTTGCCCAGCCTCCAAGTTGCATGTTTGGCTTTCAGGCTGCTATGGGAATTGTCAGGATTCCTGATATAAGGCAGTAGGAGAGTAGACTCAGGTGTTGAAGCAGGTTACAATGATGGTGACCTGTCAGGATAGCAACTATTTCAACCAAACTCATATCAAATTAATACACATAAATCCCTGGCATTCCTATACACTAACAGTGAGGAAATAGATATAGGAATTAAGGAAACAACCCTATTCACCATTACGTCAAAAAGAATAAAATACTTAGGAATAAATTTACCTCAAGAAACAAAGGACCTATATTTAGAAAACTGTAAAACACTGATGAAAGAAATCAAAAGATGACACAAATTGGTGGAGAAATATACCAAGTTAATGGATTGCAAGAATCGACATAGTGAAAATGAGGATACTACACAAAGGAATCTATAGATTCAATGCAATCCCTATCAAGCTACCAAAACATTTTTCACAGAACTAGAACAAATAATTCCACAATTTGTATGGAAGCACAAAAAACCTTGAATAGCCAAAGCACCTTGAGAATGAAGAATGGAACTGGCGGAATCAAACTGCCTGACTCAGACTATACTATAAAGCTATAGTCGTCAAGACAATATGGTACTGGCACAAAAACAGAAATATAGATCAGTGGAACAAAATAGAAAGCCCAGAGAGAAATCCATGCACCTATGGACACCTTATCTTTGGCCAAGGAGGCAAAAATATGCAGTGGAGAAAAGACAATCTCATTAACAGGTGGTGCTGGGAAAACTGGTCAACCACTTGTAAAAGAATGAAACTAGAACACTTTCTAACACCATACACAAAAATAAACTGAAAATAAATTAAAGATCTAAATGAAAAACCAGAAACTATAAAACTCCTAGAGGAAAACATAGGCAGAACACTCTGACATAAATCAAACAGGATCCTCTATGATCCGCCTCCCAGAGTAATGGAAAAAAAAGCAAAAAAACTCATGGGACCTAATTAAACTTAAAAGCTCTTGCACAACGAAGGAAACTATAAGCAAGTTGAAAAGATAGCTTTCAGAATTGGAGAAAATAATAGCAAACAAAGCAACTGACAATCTCAAAAACACACAAGGAGCTAATGCAGCTCAATACCAGAAAAATAAATGACTCAGTGAAAAAATGGGCTAAAGAACTAAACAGACGTTTCTCCAAAGAAGACATACAGATGGCTAACAAACACATGAAAAGATGCTCAATATCGCTTATCATCAGAGAAATGCAAATCAAAACCACAGTGAGGTACCATCTCACGCTGGTCAGAATGGCTGCTATCAAAAAGTCTAGAAACAAAAAAAGCTGGAGGTGTGGAGAAGAGGGAACCCTCTTACACTGTTGGTGAGAATGCAAACTAGTACCGCCACTATGGCGAACAGTGTGGAGATTCCTTAAAAAACTGGAAATAGAACTGCCATATGACCCAGCAGTCCCACTGCTGGGCACACACACTGAGGAAACCAGAATTGAAAGAGACACGTGTACCCCAATATTCATTGTAGCACTGTTTACAGTAGCTAGGACAAGGAAGCAACCTAGATGTCTGTCCACAGATAAATGGATAAGAAAATTGTGGTACATATACACAGTGGAATATTACTCAACTATAAAAAGAACATATTTGAGTCAGTTCTAATGAGGTGGATGAAACTGGAACCTATTATACAGAGTGAAGTAAGTCAGAAAAACACCAATAACAGTATATTATCGCATATATATGGTGGAATTTAGAAAGATGGTAACAGTGACCCTATATGTGAGATGGCAAAAGAGACACAGATATAAAGTACAGGCTTTTGGACTCTGTGGGAGAAGGTGAGGATGGGATAATCTTAGAGAATAGCATTGAAACATGTATAGTACTATATGTGAAATAGATGACCAGTCCAAGTTCGATGCTTGAAACAGGGCACTCAAAGCTGGTGCACTGGGACAATCCAGAGGGATGGGATGGGGAGGTAGGTGGGAGGACAGTTTGGAACAGCCTAGGAACACCTGTGGCTGTACACACGTACAGCTATGTACACCCGTGGCTTGTACACCCGTGGCTGATTCATGTCAATGTATGGCAAAAGCCATCACAATATTGTAATTAACCTCCAATTAAATAAATTAATTTAAAAAGTAAAATATTTAATTAAAAAAAGATAATATGAGCTTCTTTGTGATCTGAAAACTAACTTAGGGAGGTCCTTGGCAAATAAGAGAAAGAAATCAAGATAAGGGAGCTGCTGTTTTCCTCCTATCACTTGTCTCCATCTTGTTGGCCTACATTTTTTATAAAGCTGAGAAGATAGGTGGAAGTGGTAGGACCTGGGCTAGAAAATTAAACTCATGACAGTAGTCTGATTTTGTTGAAGTTCACAGCAGGCTAATATGCTACTTCTAGGATTTTTTCAATTAAAAAAATACATATAACAACAAAATTTACTGTATTAACCAAAGAGTCTGAGCAACTGAACTGAATGTCCTGAAAATATCAATTAAGTGTAACTGTTGTAATACGTCATTTAGGATTTCTGTTGCCTTATTGATTTTCTGTCTGGAAGATTTGTCCACTGATGTCAGTGAGGTCTTGAAGTCTCCTCTATTATTGTATTCCCATCCATTTGTCCCTTTAGGTCTGTTAGTATTTGTTCTCTATATTTCAGTTCAGTTCAGTTGCTGAGTCATGTCCGACTCTTTGCGACCCCATGGACTGCAGCACCCCAGGCTTCCCTGTCCATCACCCAACTCCATAACTTACCTAAACTCATATCCCTTGATCGGTGATGCCACCCAACCATCTCATCCTCTGTCGTCCCGTTCTCCTCCCGTCTTCAATCTTTCACAGCATCAGGATCTTTTCAAATGTTAGTTCTTCACATCAGGTGGCCAAAGTATTGGAGGTTCCGCTTCAGCATCAGTCCTTCCAATGAATATGCAGGAATGATTTCCATTAGGATTGACTGGTTGGATCTCCTTGCAGTGCAAGGGACTCTCAAGAGCCTTCTCCAACACCATAGTTCAAAAGCATTACTTCTTCGGCACTCAGCTTTCTTTGTAGCCCAACTCTCACATCCGTATATGACTGCTGGAAAAACCATCGCTTTGACTAGATGGACTTTTGTTAGAAAAGTAATGTCTCTGCTTTTTAATATGCTCTTGAGTTTGGTCATGGCTTTTCTTCCAAGGAGTAAGAGTCTTTTAATTTCATGGCTGCAGTCACCATCTGCCATGATTTTGGAGCCCCCCAAAATAAAGTCTCTGTTTCCGTTATAAACCCCATCTATTTGCCATGAAGTGATGGCACTGGATGCAATGATCTTCATTTTCTGAATGTTGAATTTTAAGACCACTTTTTCACTCTCCTCTTTGACTCTCATCAAGGGGCTCTTTAGATCTTCTTTGCTTCCTGCCATAAGTGTGGTGTCATCTGCATATCTGAGATTATTGATATTTCTCCTGGAAATCTTGATTCTAGCTTGTGATTCCTCCAGCCCAGCATTTTGCATGATGTACTCTGCATATAATGTAGACAAGCAGGGTGACAATATACAGCCTTGATGTACTCCTTTTCCTATTTGGAACCAGTCTTTTGTTCCATGTCCAGTCCTAACTGTTGCTTCTTGACCTGCATACGGATTTCTCAGGAGACAGGTCGGGTGGTTTGGTATTCCCATCTCATTAAGAATTCTCCATAGTTCGTTGAGATCTACACAGTCAAATGCTTTGGTGTAGTCAATAAAGCAGAAGTAGATGTTTTTCTGGAATAGATGATTTTTCAATGATCCAGTGAATATTGGCAATTGGATCTTTGGTTCCTCTGCCTTTTCTAAATCCAGCTTGAACATCTGTAAGTTCATGGTTCATGTACCGTTGAAGCATGCTTGGAGAATTTTGAAGGTTACTTTGCTAGCATGTGAGATGAGTGCAATTGTGGGGTAGTTTGAACGTTCTTTGGCATTGCCTTTCTTTGGGATTGGAATGAAAACTGACCTCTTCCAGTCCTGTGGCCACTGGCTGAGTCTTCCAAATTTGCTGGCATGTTGAGTGCAGCACTTCCACAGCATCGTCTTTTAGGATTTGAAATAGCTCAATTGGAATTCCATCTCCTCCACTAGCTTTGTTCATAGTGATGCTTCATAAGGCCCATTTGACTTCACATTCCAGGATGTGTGCCCCTAGGTGGGTGATCACACCATCATGGTTATCTGTGTCATGAAGATCATTTTTGTATAGTTCTGTGTATTTGCCACCTCTTCTTAATATCTTCTGCTTCTGTTAAATCCATACCATTTCTGTCCTTCATTGTGACCATCTTTGCATGAGATGTTCCCTTAGTATCACTCATTTTCTTGAAGAGCTCTCTAGTCTTTCCCACTCTATTGTTTTGGTCCATTTCTTTGCACTGATCACTTAGGGAGGTTTTCTATCTCCCTATCTCTCTTTGCTGTTCTTTGGAACTCTGCGTTCACATTGGGTATATCTTTCATTTTCTCCTTTTCCTTTCACTTCTCTTCTTTTTCAGCTATTTGTAAGGCATCTTAAGACAACCCTTTTGCCTTTTTGCATTTCTTTTTCTTGGGGATGGTCTTGATCACTGGCCTGTGTACTATGTCACGAACCTCCATCCATAGTTCTTCAGGCACTCTTATCAGATCTAATCTCTTGACTATGTTTCTCACTTCCACTGTATAATTGTAAGGGATTTGATTTAGGTCATACCTGAGGGATATAATGATTTTTCCCTGCTTTCTTCAGTTTCAGTCTGAATTTGGCAATAAGGTGTTTATGATCTGAGCCACAGTCAGCTCCCGGTCTTGTTTTTGCTGACTGTATAGAGTTCTCCATGTTTCTCTGCAAGAATGATATTTTTATAGATTTACATGTTTATATATTTATATATATATATATATATATATACACACACACACATATATATGTAAGTATTTATTTTAAGTATTTAAATATAATTTTAGTATAAAAATAAATAAATATTTATATAAGTTTAGATGCTCCTATATTGAGTGCATATGTGTCATTGAGTGTAATATACTCTTCTTGTATTGATTCTTTTATCATTACATAGTGTCTTTCTTTAGCCTTTTTATGGCTTTTGTTTGGAAGTGTGTTTTTTTTATATGAGTGTTGCATCCCCCACTTTATTGTCTTTTTCATTTGCATGAAATGCCTTTCTCCATCTCCTCACTTTGAGTCCTTTGTCCTGGAGTGGGTCATTGGTTTCTTAAAGAACTAGGTTTTGGCTTTATTGAGCCATTATTATATTTTTGTTTCCTATTTCATTATTTTTGTTGTTAACACTTTTTTAAAGATTTATTTACTTGTATTTATTTATGGCTGTACTGGGTCTTAATTGCTCTGCACAGGCCTTCTCCACTTGTGGTGAGTGGGGGCTACTCTCTAGTTGCAGTGCATGGGCCTCTCGTTCCACTGGTTTCTCTTGTTGTGGACCAGGGGCTCTAGGTGCATGGGCTTCAGTAGTTGCAACTCATGGGCTCTGGAACACTGGTTCAGTAGTTGTGGCACACAGGCTTAGTTGTCCCACCGAATGCGGGATCTTCCTGAACCACGGATTGAACCTCTGTCCCCTGCATTGGTGGGTTCTTCACCACTGAGCCATCAGGGAGGCCTGCTTTTACCACCTTTTTTCTCCTTTACTCTTCTGTGATTTGTTGTTTTTCTAATGTTCTTACTAGTTCAGATGGATGTTTACCTCATTAATTTTCAGTTCTTGTTGTATAAAAATTTAATTTCTGATATATGTCATTTTATCATACAATTCTAAGTATTTCTAAAGTTGCACTGTAATTTTTTTCTTTGAACTGTTTTGTATAGAAGTGTTTTAAAAATATATTTCCAAATGTAAGAGAATTTTAAAATTGTATAATTGAATTACTCGATCATTAGTTGTCAGTGTATAATAGTGATTTGCTGTTTTCATAGATTACACACCATACAAAGTTAGTGTAAAATATTGACTATATTCCTTGTGCTGTATATTACATCCCTGTCGCTAATTTATTTTATAACTTGTAGTTTGTACCTCTTACCTCCCCTTCATCTATTTCATACCTCCCTCACCCTTCTCCCATGTGGCAAACCACTAGTTTATTTTCTATATCTGTTCATCTTATCTGTTTTTGTGTATTTGTTGACTTGTTTTATTTTTTGGATTCCACATATAAACAAAAATTATACAGTATTTGTCTTGTAGTAATTTTTAATTTGATTGCTTTGCAATTAGAGAATTTTGTGCATGTGATAACTGATTTTTGAAATTGTTGAATTTACATTTTGGCTTTCCATGTGGTTTTTATGAACATTCTATTGTTGAAGAAAGTCACCAGTTTAATGTTTTTAGTTCTGTGAATGTTTACAGTGTTCTGTGGATGATTGTGATTTGTCTGTTCTCCTTTGACTGTTTTTCTTGGCTGTTACAGACCGTGCTTATCAAAACATTTTTATGTGTATCTGTGTTACCATGTGACTATATCCACAGGAAAAAGTATCCTAGTATATTTTCAAAAAGTATTTTCCTTTAAAATTAGGATCAAGATGGATCTCGTTTATAGTTTCAATGTTGTATTTGATTCGTGCTTGTTTCCCTATGTCCTTGACTAGTCTTGGTATTTAAAAAAATATGTATTGGAATATAGTTGCTTTACAATGTTGTCTTAGCTTCTATTGTACAGTGAAGTGAATCAGTTATATATATATTTCCACTTGTTTAGATTTCCTTTCATAGAGCAATGAATAAGTTCCCTGTGCTATACAGTAGGATTTTCATAATTATCTATTTTACACATAGCATCAGTAGTGTATGTACATGAATCACAGACTCCCAGTTCATCCTTCCCCCAAACCCCTGCCTCTTGATATCCTTATATTTGTTCTCTATGTTTGTGTCTCTGTTTCTGCTTTGCAGATAGGTTCATCTGTAACATTTCTCTAGATTTCACATTTATACATTAATATATGATATTTGTTTTTATGACTTTCTTCATTCTGTATGACAGTCTCTAGGTATATCCATGTCTCTCCAGGTGACCCAATTTAATTCCTTTTTATGGCCAAGTAATATTCCATTGTCTGTGTGTATCACATCTTCTTTATTCATTTCCTCTGTTGATGGAAATGTTGCTTGCTTCCCTGTCCTGGCTTTTGTGAATAGTGCTGCAGTGAGCATTGGAGTGAATGTGTCATTTTGAATTACGTTTTTGTCTGGGTATATGCCCAGTGTTGGGATTGCTGGGTCTTAGGGTCCTTCTGTTTTTAATAGTTTTTAGGAACCTCCGTATTGTTCTCCATAGTGGCTGTATCAATTTACCTTCACACCAACAGTGTAAGAGGGTCTCTTTTCTCCACACTCTCTCCAGCATTTGTTGTTTGTACACTTTTTGATGTTGACCATCCTGACTTGTGTGAGGTGATCACTCATTGTAGTTTTGATTAGCATTTCTCTAATAATAGTGATGTTGAGCATCTTTTCATGTGTTTGTTGGTCATCTGTATGCCTTCTTTGGAGAAATGTCTGGTCTTCTGGTGGTAGTTTAGTCACTAAGTCATGTCCAACTCTTGCAACCCCATGGGCTGTGGCCTGCCAGTCTCTTCTGTCCATGGTATTCTCCAGGCAAGAATACTGGAATAGGTTGCTATTTCTTTCTTCAGAGGATCTTCCCAACCCAGAGAGCTAACCTAGGTCTTGTGCATTGCAGGCAGATTCTTTACCGACTTAGCTGCAAGGAAAGCCCCATTTAGGTCTTCTACTAGATTCATATTAGCAAACTGTTTCCAGTCAGTCATGGTTGCATAAAGTTATATTCTTCTTTTGATTTTCAGTGTCTTTAATTATGAGTGAGAGTTAGTCAGCATTTTTTTCATTTGGAGGACTACCTATTCTTATTCATAGCCCATTTTTCTACTAGGCTACTCATCTTTCTTACTGCTGTGTAAAATTCCTCCTGTGCTGTGTGGATGGCACATTTAGATGGTTTAAAGCTTACTTACCACCAGGATGCTTTTTTTGTTATTTTGACTACCTTCAAATGTTATTTACTTTAGAAATGGGTGATGGATCGTCTCGAAGAGATCATTTCATGAGAAGTGGATTTGCCTCTGGGAGGAGTTTGGGAAACAGAGGTAAGTATCTTTCTTTAATCATCTGTTATAATAGGTGAATAGTGGAATGAATAGAGGCTTTTATGGCTGTTTAGTGCAAGGTTAAATCTGATATAACTTGGTGTACAGTAGACTTTGTTGGGATGATGAATTTTTTTTAATACCAGTATTCTTTTCACTGTTTTACATTTTAAGATAGTAGGAAATAGTTGAATTGATTAGATGGGTAGATTGGTTAAAGAGAATTGCTTCCCAGAGCTGCTTCTTGATGTGTTGATGGTTATTGTTCCCATTGGCATGGGAGGAATGGGAGAAACTCCAGAGACTAGAGTGTGAAGGACCTTTTTCTTAAGGTTTATGTTTCTCAAGAAAAGGCAGTATGTGAAACAGTTAGCTCACTAGCTCACTAGTATTAAGAGGTTGTTTTCCCAAAATTGAAAGTTTTTATTGTCACTTTCAGAACAACCAGCACTAGATTTGACAGATAATGACACAGCAAAATAGTTTCCTCCTTTCCACTTTTAGATTTGTTATTAAAATGCTGAAAATATTCTGCACTGTGTTTTATTATAGTGCAACAAAACAATATTAGAACCTCAAATGGTCATATGGATTTTTAAATAAATTTCTCTTATGGGGCCATATGCTAGGGTTAATAGTTTTAAATATACATGGCACTTATTTTTGAATTTATTAAATGTTAGTTTTTGAAAAACTTTGATATTTGTATATATTTTTATTCATTGGAAACTGAATGTTGATATATGGTATTTCATTTGCTACTTGGAAAATTTAATTTATTAAGATACAAGTAACATAAGTGTGAATTTTGTGTTTTGACATATTTTTTCTACTAATGAAATTTGTTGAAGATGCATATATTTTTTTTATCTTTAAGCCTGCATATTAAGTAAGAGGCATTAATGTTTTGGACCATGTAGTTGTGCTTAGAGATTCAAGTGTGTATTTTGTTTGCTACTACTAAGAAGTAACAAATACCTTAATACGACACTCAGGGAGCTACTTAATATTTGGATATATGTTAAAATCCTAATTTAGAATGATATTTTTTGATGCAGACTTCTGAACATTGTTGAATAGAGCCTTTTTAAATGAGAAAACCATCACTGAGATTTTACTATGAATTGTTAATTCAATATGATGTAGATTTAAATACATTAAATTTCTGATCAAAACTGTGAATATTGATACTTTAAAAGTTATCTTTGAAAAAATCTGAAAAAAATGAATATATGTATATGTAAACTGAATCACTTTGTATACCTGAAACTAACACAAAATTGTAAATTAACTATACTCCGATAATATTTAAGAAAAAAAGTTATCTTTAATACTGCATATAATCCTGGAAATTTATAGAAGAACCACACCTTTCCCAAATGATTCAGTTTACCATTCTAGTTTGTTTCAATCTTTTTGGTAATTTTTTTCTCACAATTTGGATATATCTAGGAACATGGTTGTAAAATTGACTTTTAATTACCTAAAATATATATTGATTTGCTTTTTATCTTCTGTGAAGTATGGCCTAAAAGCCTTAACTTCCTGAAACACATGCTTTTTTAGAATCTGATAAAAATACTGATAGTTGCATATACACAGTTTTGCATGTGGCATTAGGAGTTTCACAGATCTCTTAGCTCCTCTGTATTTCGATATTATAGATGTAGGGAAGACAATTTGTGAAATTTACAAGATTGTGATAATGATCCCAATGATAGTATAAAGTGGCTATTTATCATGTTTTGGGTGCTTAAGTTTATGTTTTAAATAACTGTGCTGCTTGACATAGAAACTCTGCCCTCAAAATTCTTAATTTAGTGGTAGAGAAGCACATGGAAAGAAATATTGCTTAAAAAGAGATACATATAATATGCTGTGGGAATGTGATTGATGAATTGACTACAGTTGGAGGACTGAAGGAGGACTTCACAGGAGAGGTGGGTTTTGAATCAGGCTTTTGAAGAGTGAAAAAAATTTTACTAGGAAAAATAGGAAAGCAAGGAATGTCATACTGAAGGAATAGCGTGTAGGAAATAGAAGATAATAGAAGTTCACAGTGTGGAGTATGGAAAGTTGTTTTATGAATTAAAATGTTGGGTGTTCAGAGTTGTATAGTGGAATATAAAACTAAGAAGGTTGATATGGGGAAATACTATGGAGGAGTGGGAGGTAAAGGGACGTGGTATTCTTAGCATTTTTCATTATTATATAGCTCCTTCTTAGTTCTAATTTTAAAAAAGTAGATTGAGCGTGATTTAAGTACTAGAAAAATGAATAGGGACTTCCCTGGTGGTCCAGTGACTTAAGACTTATGGTGCCAATACCAGGGGACCTGGTTTGATCCTTAATCAGGGAACTAGATCTCACATGCTGCAACTAAGAGTTCTCATGATGCAGCTAAGACCTGGTGCAGCCAAATAAATAATAAATACTTTTTAAAAATGAATAAATAATGAATAATAATAGGACAAGAGTATAGAATTTTCATTAGCAGTGACTTTCACATAGAGGTATAATGTAAATAGCTGGATCTGTCAGGGTGAGGTTTCAATACATAGAAAATGAGGGTTGAATTGAATAGAGTTCAATTGTAGAATTGAATTTCTTGGTTAAAGTTCTCTAGTACAATAGCAACTAGTGGAGTGCTGTATTTCAGCAGTAGTATATTTACATTTTTACTTTGGTATAATGTAAGAATTTTTTTAAAAGAAGTTGCAGGTATATTTTAATTTCAGAAGTTCCTGTAATACTCTCTCCTCATCGTTGGAAGTTCCCTTACCACACAGATTCATTTAATTCCTAGTTATTGATGACACACTTGATTTTACACTTTAAAAAGTTTTAATTGTATCTGAACCTTTTCAGATCCTGGTGAGTCTAATAAACGAGAGAATACGTCCACAGCGGGTGGTTTTGGAGTTGGAAAGAGTTTTGGAAACAGAGGTAATCTGCTTATGATGTCTTTCAATTGAAACTTAAGTGATACATTATAGTCTTTGAGTACTGTTTCCTTTGAACATACATAGGAAGTGTGTTCCTTTCCCAAGAGTTTATGGAGATCACAAGGGAGTGCTTTCACTTTCCTAATCGTAGATCAGAGCAACACTTTATGCTGCTTTGGATGTGTTTGCTCTTCTATTTAGTTTTCTTGTTTTCCTTTTTAATAGCCATGCTACTTGTTGCAGCATCTCATCAAATTGATTTACCCCACAGGTGAATCCCACCTCTTTTCTCCTGTATTCACGACTTCCTTGCCCTGCTCTTGGAGCAAGAGGTCTATCTTAAACTTCCAGGGGTGAATCTGAGTTTCCATCTTTACTTGAACAAAGAACCGGTGGTAGTGGTTTAGTCGCTAAGCTACATAAAAATAAAAATAAAAATAAAAATAAAAATCCATTCAAAAGTTGATGTACCCTGGGGTTTCTAACAAATTTTGTCTGTTGTGTATAATGCTTCTTTGAATATTCATAAACAATTATCTGTTTGAGTCACTGTTCTTGCATTTTTTGGGTATATGTTTAGAAGAGGAATTGTCAGGGAATTGACTGGGGTAAGTTAAAATATGCCATAAAAATCACAGCTCTTACTGAGAATCAGCCTATTTTAAAATAATATTTTCTATTTTTAATTAACATTTTGTTTTCAATAAACATTAATGTTTTGTTGTTGTTGTTGAGTTGGTCAGTTGTGCCTGACTCTTTGCGATCCCAAGAGTGCAAGATGCCAGGCTTCCCTGTAGTCTACCATCTCTAGGAGCTTGCTCAAACTCATGTCCATTGAGTTGGTGATAGCATCCAACCATTTCATCCTCTGTCGTCCCCTTCTCCTCCTGCCCTCAATCTTTCCCAGCATCATGGTCTTTTTCCAGTGAGTCAGCTCTTCCCATCACGTGGCCAGAGTATTGGAGATTCAGCTTCAACATCAGCCCTTCCAATGAATATTCAGGATTGATTTCCTTTAGGATCGACTGGTTTGATCTTGTAGTCCAAGGGACTGTCAAGAGTCTTCACCAGCGCAAGAGTTCAAAATCATCAGTTCTTCAGTGCTCAGCCTTCTTTCTGGTCCAACTCTCACATCTGTATATAACTACTGGAAAAACCATAGCTTTGACTAGACAGACCTTTGTCGGCAAAGTGATGCGTCTGCTTTTTAATACACTGTCTAGGTTGCTCATAGCTTTTTTTCCAAGGAGCAAGCATCTTTTAATTTCATGGATGCAGTCACCATCTGTGGTGATTCTAGAACCCCCAAAAATAAAGTTTCTCACTGTTTCCATTGTTTCCCCATCTATTTGTCATGAAATTATGGGACCGGATGCCATGATTTTCGTTTTCTGAATGTTGAGTTTTAAGCCAGCTTTTTTACTCTCCTTTTTTCACCTTTATCAAGAGGCTCTTTAGTTCCTCTTGGCTTTCTGCCATAAGGGTGGTGTCATCTGCATATCTGAGGTGATTGATATTTCTCCCGGCAATCTTGATTCCAGCATATGAGTCAACCAACATGGCGTTAGTTAAATAAGCAGGGTAACAATATGCATCCTGATGCACTCCTTTTTCAATTTTGAACCAGTCTGTTGTTCCATGTCCAGTTCTAACTGTTGCTTCTTGACCAGCATATAGGTTTCTCAGGAGGCAGGTAAGATGGGCTGGTATTCCCATCTGTTTTAAGAATTTTACACAGTTTGCTATGATCCACACAACCAAAGGCTTTGGTGTAATCAGTGAAGCAGAAGTAGATGTTCTTTTCTGAAATTCTTTTCCTTTTTCCGTGATCTACCAGCTGTTGGCAATTTGACCTCTCGTTCCCCTGCCTTTTCCAAATCCAGCTTGAACATCTGGAGGTTCTTGGTTCATGTACTGTTGATACCTAGCTGTGGTATTGGAGAAGACTCTTGAAAGTCCTTTGGACTACAAGGAGATCAAACCAGTCAATCCTAAAGGAAATCAGTCCTAAATATTCATTGGAAGGACTGATGCTGAAACTGAAGCTTCAATGCTTTGGCCACTTGATGCGAAGAACTGACTCATTGGAAGAGACCCTGATGCTGGGAAAGATTGAAGGTGGGAGGAGAAAGGGACGACAAAAGATGAGATGTTTGGATGGTGTCACCCGACTCGATGGACGTGAGTTTGAGTAAGCTTCAGGAGTTGGTGATGGACAGGGAAGCCTGGTGTGCTGCAGTCCATCGGGTCACAAACAGTCAGACACGACTGAGAGACTGTACTGAACTGATAAAAGAACAGTAGTTCAGCAGCATAAATTTTTTTCAGTAATGGCAGAGGTCAGAATAGCTGGAATTCAGAATACTAAGGGAGACTAACTCTGAACCCAAGCTGCTGTTTTCAGATAATTTGGGTGTTAGAAATAATATTTTGGGTAAAGATGATGTTTAATACTTGTAGGGGATTGAGGAAAGAACTATTAAATCATATTAGTAAAAAGGAAACTGAGCTTTGGAAGAAAGTAGGAAGCAATGATGAGCCAAAATAAATAAATAAAATTTCAAAATTCGTAAGCATGTTGGTATAATTGAAAGCATATTGACTGCCTGAGCTAGTAATAATGATGATTAGTTTAGGGTTATTTAGAAATAAAAGAACTAAAATTTTAACAACTGAAAAGAGTTCTTTGTCAGTTCTTATTAGTAAAAACGAGAATAGATGGAAATGAAAGATTTCTTAAATATGGTAAAATGTTGGGGTAATCAGAAAAAGAATAAAATAAGTAACTTACTAGTGGAGGAAATGCAGTAGAAAGAGGAGAGGACTTTGTAGGTAGGAGATTAGGTTGAAAATAATTTTAATAATAGCTTCAATATCCATGGTGACATTGAAGGATGTCAGTAAAATCATTAAATAAAATAACAGCCTTTGGGGATATCTAATAGAAGGCCAGAAAGGAAAACAGGTAAGCATTGAAAGAAATCAGTGAAGAGAAAACACAAAATAAGATGATAAGAGTAAAAACACATGTATCAGTAATTTTATGTAAGCATTTGAATGCAGAGTTGAGAATAAAGAGAAAAAATATCAGTACATTATTAAACAAAGCTGATGTAGAAATAGACAAAATAGACTCTAAGTCAGATACAGTTCTGAACATTCTTTGAATCTAACAACATTGTCTTAAAATATACAGGGCAAAAATTGAAATAAGGAAAAATGTGCAAACCCTAGTTAAACAGTTAATCGCCATTAGGATTTTAAGCTATTTTATTTTTTAAAAACTGATAGACCAGAAATGAGTAAGACAACAGAAGATTTGAATATAAGATTTGAGTATCAGTTATTAAGCTTGATTTCATAGTTGTGTTTGAAGTGATATATTCTCAAATTAACAAATTACAGATCCTTTTCCAGCATATAGAAAATATACACAATTTGAAAATCTATTAAGGCTAAAAGAAAGGCCCAAGATATATCATAAAATTTATATCGTAGACCATATTGTAATTATTAAGGTACATATTATACTTGTTAAAATATATTAAAAGTAAAAATCAGTAACAGATGCCTGACCCTATGGTTTGGGAACTGCATTTCTCAGTTTATGAATAGGAATTCATGTGGAAATGATGAAATACTTAGAATGGAATGACTATAAAAACAGAACATATAAAAATGTATGGGGTTACATGGCTGTGGGCAGCTCCATGGGGTGGGCACCACGTCCCATGGCATCCCATGGAGGCCACTCCCATTGGTCGAGGGCAGTTCTTCAAAATAAGTATGCAAGTACGATCCGGTTGCATACTGGGGCTGGCGACAGCACACTGGCCCAGTGAAGGAGTCCAGGAGGGGCATCATCATTGCCTGCTACTCCACCACCTCCGATTGTACCTAATGTTGTGTGGAAGGCCAGTGCAATCAGAAAAAAGTTATTGAAGATACAGGACCTTGACAAGAAAGCACGGCATGTGACTTGATTATATATTTCTAAAATCCAAAAGAATACATAGTTTATCAACCACTGAAAATAATATCATAATGTGTTAGATTGTGAAATCAGCATACAGAAGTTAACAGCTTTCCATGCAGTTCAGTTAGTAGATGTATGGCAGATATCCTATCTGTAGTCACAAAATAAGATAAAATAGAGTAAGAATAAAGTATTCCAAAGAATTCGAGTTCCACAGAATAGCAAAGAGAGAAAGAAAGCTGTCCTCAGTGATCAGTGCAAAGAAATAGAGGAAAACAATAGAATGGGAAAGATTAGACATCTCTTCAAGAAAATTAGAGATACCAAGGGGATATTTCATGCAAAGATTGGCTCAGTAAAGGACAGAAATGGTATGGACCTAACAGAAGCAGAAGATATTAAGAAGAGGTGGCAAGAATATACAGCAGAACTGTACAAAAAAGATCTTCACGACCCAGGTAATCACGATAGTGTAGAGCCAGCCATCCTGGAATGCAAAGTCAATGGTCCTTAGGAAGCATCACTATGAGCAAAGCTAGTGGAGGTGATGGAATTCCAGTAGAGCTGTTTCAAATCCCGGAAGATGATTCTGTGAAGTGGTGCACTCAACATGCCAGCAAATTTGGAAAACTCAGCAGTGGCCACAGGACTGGAAAAGGTCAGTTTTCATTCCAATCCCAAAGAAAGGCAATACCAATGGATGCTGAAACTACTGCACAGTTACACTCATCTCAAATGCTCAAAATTCTCCAAGTCAGGCTTCAACAGAATGAAGCTGGTTTTAGAAAAGGCAGAGGAACCAGAGATAAAATTGCCAATATCTGCTGGATCATCAAAAAAGCACGAGAGTTCCAGAAAAATATCTATTTCTGCTTTATTGACTATGCCAAAGCCTTCGACTGTGTGGATCACAATAAACTGTGGAAAATTCTGAGAGATGGCAATACCAGACCAGTTGACCTGCCTCTTGAGAAATCTGTATGCAGGTCAAGAAGCAACAGTCAGAGCTAGACATGGAACAACAGACTTATTCAAAATAGGAAAAGGAGTACGTCAAGGCTATATATTGTCACCCTGCTTATTTAACTTATATGCAGTGTACATCATGAGCAACACTGGGCTGGAGGAAGCACAAGCTGGAATCAAGATTTCTGGGAGAAATATCAGTAACCTCAGACATGCAGATGATGCCACCCTTATGGCAGAAAGTGAAGAACAGCTAAAAAGCCTCTTGATGAAAGTGAAAGAGGAGAGTGAAAAAGTTGGCTTAAAACTCAACATTCAGAAAACTAAGATCATGGCATCTGGTCCCATCACTTCATGGCAAATAGATGGAGAAACAGTGGAAACAGTGGCTGACTTTATTTTGGGGGGCTCCAAAATCACTGCAGATGGTGACTGCAGCCATGAAATTAAAGGACGCTTGCTCCTTGGAAGGAAAGTTATGACCAACCTAGACAGCATGTTAAAAAGCAGAGACGTTGCCAACAAAGGTCCATCTAGTCAAGGCTATGGTCTTTCCAGTAGTCATGTATGGATGTGAGAGTTGGACTATAAAGAAAGCTGAGCACTTAAGAATTGATGCCTTTGAACTGTGGTGTTGGAGAAGACTCTTGTGAGTGCCTTGGACTGCAAGGAGATTCAGCCAGTCAATCCTAAAGCAAATACCTCCTGACTATCCATTGGAAGGACTGATGCTGAAGCTGAGGCTCCAATACCTTGGCCACCTGATGCAAAGAACTGACACATTGGAAAAGACCCTGATGCTGGGAAAGATTGAAGGTCAGAGAAGGGGACGACAGAAGATAAGATGGTTGGATGACATCACCGACTTGATGGACATGAGTTTGAGTAAACTCCAGGAGTTGGTGATGGAAGGGGATGCCTGGCGTGCTGAAGTCCAGTGGGGTCACAAAGAGTCAGACAAGACTGCACAACTGAACTGAACTGAAATATAGAAAACAAATACTAGCAGACTAAAGGGAGAAATTGATGGGAATATAATAATAGAGGAGACTTCAACACCTCACTGACGTCAGTGGACAAATCTTCTAGACAGAAAATCAGTAAGGCAACAGAGATCCTAGATGATGTATTAGGACAGTTAGACTTAATTGATATTTTCAGGACATTTAGTTCAGTTCAGTCAGTCAGGCTGTCTGTGACCCTGTGGACTCAGCACACTAGGCTTCCCTGTCCATCACCAACACCCATAGCTTGTTCAAACTCATGTCCATTGAGTCGGTGATGCCATCCAACCATCTCATCCTCTGTCATCCCCTTCTCCTCCCATCTTCAATCTTTCCCAGCATCAGGGTCTTCTCCAGTGAGACAGTTCTTCACATCAGGTGGCCAAAATATTGGAGTTTCAGCTTCAGCATCAGTCCTTACAATGAATAATCAGGAGTTATTTGCTTTAGGATTGACTGGTTTGATGTCTTGCAGTCCAAGGGACTCTCAAGAGACTTCTCCAACACCACAGGGTTTATAGGTGTCACTTTTTCTTTTTAGTCATTTTTAGGTTTTGTTCGCAAGGCAAATAGTGGATTTTTTAAAAAAGATCATAGCTTTTATTTAGTTACTGGTAAAGTTGAACATTTATAGGTGAAACACAGCATTTCCTCTTAGTAACTATCTGTTGATGACTTAAAATATTAAAGTCATTGAATTATGCAAGGCTTAAGTTAACATGGCCACCAGGCCCCCAAGATTTCTTTGTTGGTTTATTGTGTCGTTTGTGTGTGTGTGTTTTAATATTATAGGTTATCAGGACGGCAATGATTCAGAAGCTTCAGGATCGTCCAGAAGAGGTGGAAGAGGTAGTTTCCGAGGTTGCCGTGGAGGATTTGGTCTAGGAAGTCCAAGTTAGTAGTGGATTACAAATACTGTGCTTCATTTATTAAAGAAATGATTAAAAATAACACCTATCACATATAAGATTGTTATGACTATATGAGAACGGTTTACTATAATGGCTGGTACATAATCACTTATGCTATGCAAAATATTATTTTGTAGACATATGTAATTCCTTATAGATTAAATGAGAATATATGAATCTTTCTAACAGTTTGTGTGATGCAGTTCTTTAATACTACATGCTGTGAAGCGTTTTAGAGCTTTGATAAAGATGGCTGACCTTACAAATAAGTGGCATTCTCATGATTCCATTATACCTTCTTATACCAGTGTGGCTTTCTACCTAAATTTTTCCAGTCGTCTTTCTTTGGTGCTAAGATATTGTCTCCTGAAGTCACTTTTGGAATGTACGTCTCTCTCAAGAGAGGAGAACAGAGTAGTGAAACTAAAAACGTAAATTGATATAATGATTTAATAGATCTGTAGCAGATTAGTGAATTGTCACTTTTTAAATGAAGAGATCCACAGGGTTGCTGTTTAAGACTGATAAAGTTTGATTCGAGTGCAGTGGGTACAAAGGGATGCTATTCTGGAGAATAAGCAGTCAGATTATTAAGATTATGTAATGTGAAATTTTGAGGGGCAGCAACAGTGCTGTTTCTCAAAGGCAATTTAACTTGCTTGTATCATATTTTAGTGTAGTATTAGCTCTGACTACTTTTATAAGATAATTTTAATAAAATTTTGAGAAAGTAATGTATAATTGAAGGAAATAATTTGTGGAAAGATCCTTCTGTGTGAAACTTCAAAAACACTATGATTCCTGTTAAATTTAGATTATTTTATCCTGCATCTTTTTAACTTATGGCACCATAACTTGATTTTTTTCTGTTTACTGCATGACTTAAAAGTTTTTAAAAGTAACATAATCTGAATTTTTTATCTGTAAATCTAGATAGCGAATATGAACGAGATGAGGGGACCAGGCGCTCTGGTGGCATTTTTGGTTCTAGAAGATCAGCATTAAGTGGTGCAGGTGAGAAATAGAATTTATTACTGAATATTAATCATTCACATTTGCTTTTAGCTCTAGGATTCTTGAACCTAATATATATTTTTAAGTATATTAGATTGGTTCATGATTATCTCTGCTGTTTAGATTTGTAGGCAAAAAGTAAATGGACAGTTTTTCCTCCCTTATAAAATTTGTGCTCTGTGAATTATTCCTTCTTTCTTATCTACCAGTTAATTTGAGATATAAATTATACTTTTAATTAGAAGAAGGAAAATGACGTTTCCTTTGGAAAGGATTCTGAGGGAATTTGAGGAGAAACTGGGGAAAATAAAGAAGCATTCTGTTGATGAAATGTTTAAAAGTAGTTAAATGAACTGTGGTATTAAAAAGAAATGAGCTATATCAAGCCTGAAAAGACATGGAGGAGCCTTAAATGTGTACTGCGTGCATGCTAAGTCACTTCAGTTGTGTCAGATCCTTTGCAACCCCGTGGACTATAGCTCACCAGGCTCCTCTGTCCATGGGATTCTCTAGGCAGGAATATTATAGTGGGTTGCCGTGCCCTCCTCCAGGGGATCTTGCCAACCCAGAGATTGAACCTGTGTCTCCTGTGACTCCTGCATTGCAGGCAGATTCTTTACTGCTGAGCCACTGGGGAAGCTCTAAATATGTGCTACTGAGTGAAAGAAGCCAATCTGAAGAGACAGTATACTGTGTGATTCCAACTCTGTATGACATTCTGTAAGAGGCAAAACTGTAAGAAGAGGGCTGAAAAAAATTACGTGGTTGCTAGGGGTTCAGGGAAGGGATGAACAGACAGAGCACTGAGAATTTTTAGGGTAGTGAAGTTACTGTGTATGATACTATAATGATGGAGACATGCCATGATACAGTTTTGCAAACATAAAAATCACTGTACAGTACCATGAATGAGCTGTGATGTAAACCATGGACTTTGGGTGATTATGATGTGCCAGTATAGGTTTATCAACTGTAACAAAATACCTCTCTTGTGGGGAGTGTTGATTATGTCAGGGGGGTGTGGAGTATGCAGGTGTGAGGACTGGAAGTATCTGGGAAGTCTTTGCATTTTCCTCTTAATGTTTCTGTGAACCTGAAATTGCCCTAAAAGGTGAAGTGTTTAAACAAAATGTTCAGATGAGAAAAAGGTTTTAGTTAAATATAGAATTAGGAGATGGGTGGGTTAAGGGTCTGTGAATCCTGAGAAATTACTCAGTATTTGAAAAGAAATAGCTATATGTTTTTTGTGCTTGCAGAGGAGCTGTTTCCCCTGAATATTTCTGTAAAACTATGCCTTTCAGGTAATGGTGACACTTTCCAAAGAAGAAGTGGTAGTGGAAGTGGACGAGGTGAGTTCTTATTTGGTTTACCTGTAAGTGGTTAAAATGACTGTAATCCAAGATCAATTTTTGAAGTTAAAGGTAACTGTTGCTGCTTTTATACACACTTTGAGGAGTATACATTTGCACGGTCAGTTAGGAGAAGTTGTTTACTTTTGTTGTTTAGTCGCTGTGCTGTGTCTGACTCTTGGAACCCTGTGGACTATAGCCCACCAGGCTCATCTGTCCATGGGATTTTCCAGGCAAGAATACTGGAGTGGGTTGTCATTTCCTTCTCCAGGGGAAGCCAGGTGTTTACTACTACTCTTTAATCCAGCAGTTCCATTATATACTGTAGGTATATATGCTCAATACATGTAAAAGGATGTTCACTTAAGCTTCATGTATAGTACGTGAAAACTGAAAATCACCTAAAATTCATCAATAAATAACTGCTTAATAAATAACATAACCGTAAAATGGGAGTTACCATGCAAATGTTAAAGACTGAGATGTAATCTGTGTTTACAGATTCTTATATTAAAATAATCTTTCTTATGAGATAGTTAGCTTGGTGTAGGGGATAAAAAAGTTCAGTATAGGTACTTTCATACTATTAAAAAAATCTCAGAGTTAAAAATGTTTAAATTTCATATAAAAGTTAAAATATTTTCCAGACTAGTAAAACAATAAAGTTTGTTTAATATCTCTGAAAAATTCTGTGATCATTATTAGTCTGAGAGCATTCAGAGTGGCAGTTCGCTTGAAGCACTTTTCCCTGCTTCACTCTTTCAGATTCTTGGTTTCTTCAGTGTAGAAAAAGATTATGAATGGCTAAGCCATATTTTATACAAATTCCTAGATCTTGTTTGAAAAGGGGTTTGAAGACCTGTGGACATACAGGACAAGAAAATTAGAGAGTGCACTTATAAAAATGCTATGTGTTAGCCTTTCAAAGCTAATACCGTCCTGATTCTTTCTGTGATAGTACCTGAAAGTGGCACAGTCAGTGACTCCTTGTCTAGAAACCAGAAAGGTAGTGTGTGGAAAAGAGTTAACATGATAGGCCTGAGTGCTCATCTTGGAAAGTCCTTCTTACAAGACCCTTCCCTGGCTTCTGGGAACTTGGATTTTTGGAGGGGTCTCAACACCCTTAACCAGTGTGAGTGGTCCACTGTACCTAAATGGTTTGTAAAACAATGTGGTTTATGATGAATACCCACTTTTCTTCTGGGAGTTGGGAAATTTGGTACATGCCAGGCAGAAGGTGCCTGCCTGCTTTATCGGCCCCTCATAAGAACCCTGGATATTGAATCTCTAAATTGCTCTGGTAAACATTTTCAGCATGTTGTCACAACTCGTCCTGTATGACACCAGTGGGCGTGACTCTTAAAAGCTTGCACCTGGTCTTCTCTGGCCTTTTCTCCATACCCTTTTTTTCTTTGCTCATTTTGCTTCATATCTTTTCTATGTAATAAGTCACAGCCATAGTTTTGACTGTATTCTTAGTCCTAGCAAATCATAGAACCTATATGGACTAAGCAGAGATGGACTTTTAGTTCCTCTTAGAAAATATATTCCTTTGTTGAGGAATATAGGAATAGGAAAGAGACATAACAGCTTAAAAAGGGAGATACTAATATGTTATGACATTGTAATCTGCATAAAGTCAGCATTTCGAATGCTAAGGGAACTTAAAATATTCAGGATTCTATTTACCTTAATTGTCTCAAATATTATTGGTTCGAAGGGATCATCCATGTTTAGAACTTTTTCTCTTTGAAGACAAGCAACAAAAATAAAGATATACACAGTCTTGTATATTGACTGGCTGTCACTGTATTTCTTTAATAGGTGGTTACAAAGGTTTAAATGAAGAAGTAATTACAGGCTCTGGACAGAGTAAGTTTTACTTTAGATAAGGTATTTGATTTTTATAGTGAGTGTGGTTTTACCCCTCGATTTAAAAAAAAAAATTTGTCTTGTTTTTGTTTGATTCCTTTTAAGATTCTTGGAAGTCAGAAGCTGGAGGAAGAGCAAGTGGTGACACTCAGGGTATATTAATTTTTGTGTGATCCACATAAATGTACATTATATTTTAATCCAAATGCAGAATATTTAAAGAGATAACTTTAAAAAGTTTGAAGTAAAAACTTTAATGGTAAACCTTGGGCACTTTTTTTGTAATTTTATTTATTTCCTTTTGGGTATGCTGGGTCTTCGTTGCTGCACGGGCTTTTCTCTAGTTGCGGAGACTGAGGGCTCCTCTCTAGTTGCGGTCTTCTCGTTGTGGTGGCTTTTCTTGATGCGGAGCATGGGCTCTGAGGTGCACGCGCTTCAGTAGTTGTGATATGTAGGCTCAGTAGTTGCAGCTCCTGGGCTCTAGCGCACAGGCTGCGCATGGGCTTAGTTGCTCTGTGGCATGTGAGATTTTCCTGGGGCAGGAATCGAACTCATGTTTCCTGCATTGCCAGGTGGATTCTTTACCAGTGAGCCACCAGCGAAGCCCAGGAATTTGCATGTTGTTTTGAATTTGAGTTTGGTGGTTTTTGTCTGCTCTCTCTTTTATTTTTATTCTAATCCTTATAATGTGAATTTTCTTTTAAATTCTGAGGACGAAAAGTGACCTACATACCACCTCCTCCACCTGAAGATGAGGACTCCATCTTTGCACATTATCAGACAGGCATAAACTTTGACAAATATGATAGTATTCTTGTAGAAGTATCTGGACATGATCCACCACCAGCAATTCTGGTCAGTGTAATAATTGTTTCTGTAATGGCTGTGAGACAAACTTTCTTTTTTAAAGATTTGGAACATTTCTTTAAGTTGATATTAAAGAATACAAAAACTTCATCTTTAGTACTTATTTAATGTCTTAGGTTGGAAATTTAGAATCATACCTAAAATCTACATTATAATTAATTGCTGCGTTGAAAGGGAGGGTACTATATTTCCTCCCCACCTCCTCAAACTAGGATGGAAACTTGATTTAAATTTATTAAAAAGGATACTTTTCCTAAAGATTCAATATTTCTGCTTTCTACGTATGTGAGAAGGTGCATCTTAGGGGAGTGATTTTCTAAGAGCTCAGGGTTCCCTGTTGATAATGAACCATTTTTATTGATCAGAGTTATTTGTATCTCACAGGTTTTAAGGGGGCTGAAAAAGTTTTTAGAGCCATTGTCTATATGGAATATTCCTTAATTCTATCAAGTAGTCGCATAGAGGTTCTAGATATTACTTTTGAATGGGGGCATATGTATTACATAAAGTAGAATTAACAACTTGAAACTAATTCAAATGGAATATGTTTATGGAATGACTAGTGTATGATACATGGCATTTAACCACTGCTCCCTGATTTTTTGTAGACTTTTGAAGAAGCTAATCTTTGTCAGACATTGAATAACAACGTTGCTAAAGCTGGTTATACTAAGCTTACTCCTGTGCAAAAATACAGTATTCCTATTATACTAGGAGGACGAGATTTGATGGCTTGTGCTCAGACAGGCTCTGGAAAGACTGTAAGTCACTTCCTTACATATATTTAGCCCAGTATTCAGTGTCACTTTTTGAACTTTGGTTCTTCCCAAGTAGATGATTTTAGTGAACTGTCATAAATACTCATGTTTTTGCCTCTGATTTCTGGTTTTATTGAAGTTTGTGTACTTTTGACGAAAGAATTTTGAACTATTTCTAGAGTAGTGTTTTGCAGTTCATAGATGTCTATAAGTGTAGTCAGCTCCTTCTGTGGGACATAATATTTAAGACAAAATAACTTGAGAGTCAAAGCACCAAAGGATATAAGACCTCTGATTATAAGAGCATTGGAAAAAATAATTTATGTAAAGTTTTTCCCATCACTTCATGGCAAATAGATGGAAACCAGAAAGTGGAAACAGTGACAGATTTTATTTTCTTGGGCTCCAGAATCACTGTGGACAGTGACTACAGCCACGAAATTAAAAGAGACTTCCTCTTTGGCAGAAAAGCTATGACAAACCTAGACAGCATATTAAAAAGCAGAAATTTACCCCTTTGCTTACAAAGGTCCTTACAGTCAAAGCTAAGATGTTTCCACTAGTCATGTACGGATGTGAGAGCCTTAAAGAAGGCTGAAAGCCAAAGAATTGAGGCTTTCAAACTGCGGTGCTGGAGGAGGCTCTCGAGAGTCCCTTGGACAGCACGGGGATCAAAGCAATCGATCCTAAAAGAAATTAGCCCTGAATATTCACTGCAAGGACTGATGCTGAAGCGCCAATACTTTGGCTACCTGATGTGAAGAGCCACCTCATTGGAAAAGACCCTGATGCTGGGAAAGATTAAGGCAGGAGGAGAAGGGGGCGACAGAGGATGAGATGGTTGGATGGCATCACCAACTCAATGGACATGAGTTAGAGCAAACTCCGAGAGATAGTAAAGCAGCCTGACGTACTGCAGTCCATGGGGTCAAAAAGAGTTGGCCATGGCTTAGCGACTAACAACAACAGTGTAATAGCTGATACAGTTTTGGAGTCAAGAGAATGAGAAATAGCTGTATGTACTGTTGTTGTCTATGTACTGTACCTGGTCCTTAGTATGAAGTGACCTCTGGTTATGCTAATTCTAAAAGAACTCTGCTGGGACCAAGTTGGTCTTAGGACTAAACTGTGAGATTTGTGAATTAAATAGGGTTCCATGAGATGAGCATTAAAGACTGTCATTTCCAGGATCCTAGTCTTGCTTCATACTATATTAGTCTTAAAAATTCTCCATAGTAGAGTTGAAAGGAAAATAAGTGAAAATCAGCTGTACAATATAGCAGCTAATGTGTGACTTAAATGTGGTTTTGGAAGTAGATTTTAGTGTCTTATTTAATAAGAAAACTGTAGCACAAAGTTTTTCTTGCCATATGTAACGTTTATGAGGGTGATATGTTTAGTAAGTCAAATGAATGCTTTCCCAATTTTTGCTCTGTTTTGTGGACCACTTTTGTCATGCATTCTGAATTTATTTCTATCTCCAAAGGAATCATTTGTAGTAAATGCTACATTCCTCATTGACCTCTCAAGATAAGTTAATGTTTGTTTATGTAGAACCTTTGGTTGTGTTTGTTTTTAAAAAACCACAAAAGATAGTTTCATAAGATAGATTAACTTTATCAAACATTTTATATTGTATAATATGAGCATGATGACCAAAATGTTAGAAACTCATTGAAATAAATATTATTTCCCTTTCGCATTTTAAATTTATCAAAAAGATGAAAGAAGAAGCTAAGGGATATAAAGGCATGAGGAATAGGTTGCCATAGGGAACAGGATGATTCCCTATAAATTTGTAAGTTATGCAATTTAACTTCTAGGCAGCTTTTCTCTTGCCAATTTTGGCTCATATGATGCGTGATGGAATAACTGCCAGTCGTTCTAAAGAACTGCAGGAACCAGAGTGTATTATTGTAGCACCAACTCGAGAGTTGATCAGTCAGATCTATTTGGAAGCCAGAAAATTTTCTTTTGGGTAAGTACATCTGGAATGCCACTCACAAACAAGGTTTTCTTTAGAGAATTACTGTATTTATTTTGGGAGGAACTCAGTACATGAATAAGAATGCAGTCATATAATTTAATTTGGTGTTACCTGACTGAAGTTGACTTTTTCATAATCTTGTTTATAGAATCTATTTTTTAAAATGCTTATTAAAAATTAGATGGTGATAGAAGTGGAATGTTAAGACAGTGTACATTTTCATGTGTTTTCTGGTAGTTTTTAAGTGTATGTTTAAACATGAGTTTATGGTGTTCCTAATAATTTTCTATCCTTTAACCCGTGACTCCATAAAATGGATAACTGCTTATTTAACAATCAGACCTAATTTTTAATGATTCTGTAAGATTGTCCATGTGTTTGTATTTTATTTCTCTATTTGGGAGATTTAAGTTGTTTCTAATTTGGGGCTGCTATAAATAAAAGCAATTCGTGCTTTAATGAACAGCTTGCTTATAAACTTTTTCTACTTTTATGTTTTAAGTATTTTATTAGAGTAGGTTTTTATAGATTTAATGTTAAGAATATGAAGTTATTTTAAAGCTTGCATTCTACCAGCAGTATTTGAAAATGCCAACTTCACTATACACTTTGCCACTATTTGGTATTGGATTAGTTATCTGTTGCTGCTTACCTTAAAACCTAGTTGCTCCAAACAGTACATATTTTTTACAGTTTCTGAGGGTTAGGAATTGAGGAACAGTTTAGCTGGGTGTTTCTGGCTTGGCATCTCATGAGGTTGCAGACAAGATGTCATCCAGAATTACAGTCATCTGGCTTTATTGGATCTCTCTGTAAGAATGGTTGTCTCTAGGAAATGACAGCTGGCTTCACTTAGATTGAAGGGTCAGTGGGAAAGAGCAAGGAGGAGGTTTCTGTGACTTTTGTAAGACAGCTGCAGTCACTCTTGCTGTACTCTGTTCGTTACTAAGCAGGTCACTAAATCTAGCTCATCCTCAGGACTGGCTATATAATTTGCGAGACCTAGCCCAAAATGAAAGTACAAGGTCCTTTGTTAAAAAATTATGATGAATTTTAAAGCAGCAAATAGAATATTAAACCAAGTTCAGGTCTTTTTTAAGCATAGGACTGTGTATTACTGCACAGGTTATATACCTATGAAGCCAGCCTTGCACACATCTTTGGAGGAGGGAGTTAGGATCTATATTTAAAGGAAGGTGTATTGAAGAATTTGTGTACATATTTTAAAATCACTACAGCTATCTTCATGTTTTCATTTATTTGGTTATTGAGAGGTTAAACTACTTTTTGAATGCTTTGTACATTTTCCCTGTGAATTATCCATTTGTCGTCTACCCATTTATCTGTTGGTATATTAGTCTTTTTCTGTACAGTTCTTCAGAGCTTTCTATCTAGAACCTTCACCTTTTATTTTGTATAAATCAGTTTATTTGAAATTAGAGGAGAAAAAACTAAAATTATTAAAATTCTTTTAATGTCAAGCTTGACAGATCTTTTTTTGTAAGAAGTAAATGTACATTGCTCATACCAGTGTTTATTTCTTACTGACCCCCAAGTACTGTGTTGCTCTTCAAGCTTTTAAATCAAGTAAAAGATAAAAGTTTTCTTTTTTAAAAAAAGAAATAATGATATTTCAGATAATATGTATGCACAAAATGTGTATTAGAATGTGGATATTTGTTGGAACTTTTTTGTGACAAAAAACTGAGAAGTGTCTGTCTATCTTTAATCCTCCTCTTCAAAGTTTACACACTATTATGGTTTTATGTGAAATAGTATAGAAAGAGCTGGTGCACATGTATGCACTTTAATCCTCCTCTCAACAAATCTAAGCATACTAAGCTTGGTTGCCATGCTTTAAAAAAATGGTATATGTTGGAGCTAACACTTACTATAGAATTGTACTCCTGTTTATAAATGCTCAGTGTTCTTTGTACGGAAGGCCTATAATTCTGTTTTTTATTGTTAGATAATTTTCAGTCTTTCGATACTACAAATCATGTTAGCAGTGAGTATGTTACACAGTCATCTTTACCCCTTTGTGGGGATATATCTGAAGGGAAAATTCCTATATGTGAATTTATTGGGAAAAATAAGTTTTAAAATTTTAATAGAGACTAAAATTGTGAAAGAGATTATATCAGTTTATCCCCCTGAGTGCCAGTTTCCCTACCCTGGCTGACATGGCATTATCACACTTGAGGGAAAATTTTGTTAGACTTCATTTGTTTTGCTTTATTGCTTTTAAAAGTAATATTGAACTTAAAGTGTTTAAAAACTGTCTGTATTTTTAATGAACAGTTGTTCATGTTGTTGGCCTGTTGTATGGGTGTTGGTTGTGTTTATCATTGTTTTTGAAGAGCTCTATCAGGCAGGTTGCAAATATTTTTTTCCCTCAGCTTTTCAACTTTCTGGGAAGAATTGTAAAAGAATGTTGAATGTATTAGCTTTTTCTTCATGGGTTTCATTTTACATCTCATTAAAAACGAATGACTAATTTTCAAGCAACTAGAAAATGACATTTATTTGTATTGTCAATAGGAGTTGCGTAAGAGCAGTTGTGACATATGGGGGAACCCAGTTGAGGCATTCAATTCGACAAATAGTACAAGGCTGTAATATATTATGTGCTACTCCTGGGAGACTGATGGACATCATAGGCAAAGAAAAGGTAGGCTCTAGAGGGATAACAGAGTTGTGAGATTGACTAGTAATTGTTTTGTTTGGGAAAGAGAGAAACTTGTGTAAAGACATGTATGTTCATTACAGCACCATTTGTATATTAGGCTCCCATCTGATTCCTTGAATGCCTTCTTTGAATACAAATAGGTAAATAGTATTTTCCATTTTATACTTGGGAAAACAAACTTTTAGTGAGATTATGTAATTTATTGTAATCTCTAAGTTAGCTCTAGTAAGTGATAGGGTTAGAATCTGGATCTGATTCCAGAATCCATATCCTAGACCCACTCTACTGGGAGAAAAATGAAATCAGTGTTTTTTCCTAGTTTCATATATGTCTTGAGGAAATCATTTTTTTTATTCCTGGAAGAAAACCTTGGTGGTATCAGTAATTGTGTCTCCTGTTTTAAGTGTGAGAGTGATATTATCCAGGATTGTTAAGTTTCTGTCTTTGGAGAGTGATTTTAGGGCTATTTATTTTCATTATTCACATACCACATTATTACATCTCTGTATCAGTATTTTCAGTTCACTTTCATGACCCTCCTTTGCTTTTTTAAGACTGTTCTTTAAAGGGATTATTAAAAATATGTTCTTTCTGCAGAAAGGAATTTTTCTTATGGTACTTATTAAGAGTATCCAGAGAAATTCACCTTCACCTTTCAGGACTGATGCTGAACTGAGGCTCCAATACTTTGCCCCCCTGACATGAAGAGCTGACTCATTAGAAAAAAACCCTGATGCTGGGAAAGATGGAAGGGAAAAGGAAAATGGGATGACAGGGGATGTGATGGTAGGATGGCATCATTGATTCAATGAACATGAGTTTGAGCAAGCTCCAGGAGATGGTGAAGGACAGGGAAGCCTGGCATGCAGCAGTCCATGGGGTTTCAGAGTTGGACACAATTGAGCAACTGAACAACAGAATTGTCCTTTTATATTTTTGTTAGTGTATCTTTGAAATAAATTCTAGAAGTAGGATTACAGGATCCAAGGATAAATGCACATGTGATTTTGCTAGATGTTGTCAAATTCCCTTCCCTCAAGGTTTAGGCCATGGAACATCCCCAACAGTGATAAAAGAGGGTGCCTGTTACCTCGAAGCTTCCCTAACAGAGTTCATTATCAACATATGCACTGATGAATGTGTCTAATATATACTAAGATATTAAATAAAAACACTAAAATGACTATCAAACTGAAAATTGTCTGAGTTGCTTAAAATCAGTGGTATGAGTACCACACATTCATAAATACTGCCTTAGCCATTACTTGAAAAGTTCAGATATTTTGGCCTCTCTGAACCCTGCTTGGTATGCTGAAAACCCCTGTCCAAGTTGCTTTCTTCCTTAGATGTTGCACTAGTACAAGATGTGCTGTCTTAGACATGATAACCCATTCCACCTTGTTTTTGTGTTGATTTATAGGGCTCCAACTTGCAGTATTTAATTTTTTTAGCCTGTTGTATGGTTATGTGCATAATAAAAGATACTCAAATATTTATAATCCTTAAAGATGAACATCTAATTCTCCCCTATGTGAGGTAATCCATTTTTATACTGTTTGTTGTTGTTCAGTCAGTAAGTTGTGTCTGACTCTTGTGACCCCACAGACTATAGCCCATAAGGCTCCTCTGTCCATGGGATTTCCCAGGCAAGAGTACTGGAGTGGGTTGCCATTTCCTTCTCCAGGAAGTCTTTGGACCCAGGGATTGAACCCATGTCTCCTGTATTGGGAAGCAGGTTTTTTGCCACTGAACCACCAGGGAAGCCCCATGTACCACTGGTAGATTAAAAGAATTTTAGTAGCCTTGACATGGTGCAAGGCACAGTACACATCAATTAAAAAATCATTACTTGAATAGTGTGGAGAGAAGGCTAGAAACATAAAATCTAAAATATCAGTCATCTTTATATGCATTACTTTGAACTAACTACATTGATTCCAAATTGAGAGACAGCTTTGAGGAAACTCGTCCTACCTTATTAAAGAAGGATTTGGGAAATTTGGAAAAACATTATATAAGCTTTCCAGGGAATCTTTTGAGATAAGAATGCTAAGGTTTAAATGTCATTGGTCATTGCCATTCTCGTCGCTAGAATGTTCCTTGAGAAGCTGATTTTACCTGAAACATTTAGCATAATACCTGACATACAGTAGGTGCTCATTTAAAGCCTATCTAATGAATGAATCCCTGCCTTTTCCATACATTGTGATTTATTACCACCAGTAACTTAGGATCTGTGAGAACAAGAAAATAGAATATACTGGCTTCATTTTCTTGGGACACCCGTTAAGGAGCAAGTGTTTACT